AATGGTTTTGTTGTGTCACATCATGTATCCATTATCGAGAAAAATATAAAGAAAAGTTAGTAGATGGGTTACGAACCTCTTGCGCCTGATCAGGAGTTGCTGTCTTTCCCGTGCCAATAGCCCATACTGGCTCATAAGCGATAACAATATTTGTCCAGTCAACCTTTTTGTCAACTAGAGCTTGCAGTTGCCGGAAGTTTACCTAGAAAGCACATATCGCATTGACTGAATAAATATATAAGAAAGGTAGAAATTCAGAAAAATATTCACCTCTTTCGTTTTGCCTGCTTCTCTTTCCTCTAGTTTCTCACCGATGCAGAAAATGACGTTGATGTGAGATTCAAGTGCGTGGACAGTCTTTTCAGCAATGAGCTAAACATGTTGGCGCTATTTCGGGAAATTACAAAAAAATAAAACAAATGCGTCTAAGCAGCGTTCGAGAAAACCGTTTCGCCCTTCAGACGCTGTTTCCTGTTGCCGAGACAAATGAGGAGTGCTGCTCTAGGCAATTGGGCGGACGGCGTGGGACTAACGCTTGGAAGAAGGGTTCCCTCGAAATAAGTACCAAATAAAGTGCTGAGACTGCCTTCAAAGTTCTAGTGACAAGAAAGAAAGAGAAAAAAATCACCTGAAGTAACGACTCAAGGAAAATATTCTCACAAACCTGATCCGACTCTCCAAAAATGTGACGCCTTTCCGAGTGACCAAGAATCACCCATTCGATACCCAAGTCCTTGAGCATAGCTGGAGAAATCTCACCCGTAAATGCTCCCTTAGGTACCTGAATAAATACAATGCAAGTCCAAATAGGAAATCACTGGCTAATCACAGGCAGCCCCAACAAAATGTTAGCGAGATGTAAAACACTACCAGCAAATGAGAAATGTGTACCTTATAGCAATTTTGTGCCGAAACCTTGATCGATGCCTTGAGCTGTGCTTAACATAAGCGATAAAGAGAGCTGGCGGTGCAACGATCACATCGACATCAGATGCTTCTGAAAAAGGTTCAACCATTTTCATAGTACCCTCAAGGCATGGTAGTGGCGGGGGAGTTCCAGATATTGTTCACGGTGGTTAGATATCTGGTTTCCCCGGTAGCGTCTACAGTGTCTCCGCGAAATCAGCAGTTTCCAAGCTTGACCGAAGCAAACTTGCACAAAACCACATGGATCAATGAAGGTGTGAGCTGATTACAACTCAGTAACGTTGCTCAGTAACGCTTAGCTGTGGAGAAGCTATGATGGAATCTCTTGAAGCGGTAAAGCAGCCGCATCTGGCCAAACCGCTGATTTCAAGCCACTTCAAAGCTGTATTCGAACTTCGTGATTGGCAGAAAGCGATTTCGGAGAACACGCGATTGGGAAGACAGAATACAGCATCTCTAGGAGTTCTGTCGTACGCCCGAGAAAGTTTGGGAGGAAGGTTGAACTGAGCAAATATTTTCCCCAACACGATTATGAACCATGACAGGCTCGTATGAGACCGGTTTGAAGGAAGAACTACATAGAACCATTTGTGACATTGAGTTGATGAATAAAACGAT